AGTCTGCTAATGAGAAGGAATTAGAGCGAAGGAACCACACAGGAACATGGAGAGATGCTGGAGACAAGGATTGAATAGCTAAAGCCTAAGATGGAGTTATCTTTAGTCCACTTTATTTTTTCACTAGAAAGACGTTTTTTGTCCATCTTCCAACAGAAGAACCGACGATAACTGAGTTATAAGCCACAGAAGGGATATGGTTGTTCTATTTCACACACAGTTTATGTCAATAAGTTAGATGTTTACCGTAAATAATATCCACAATGACTCAGCAACTTTTAAAGAGAAAAGGTGCCAAACGACTGATTTAAATAATGCAGGTTTTCTTTATATGTAAAATGCATTGATCTTAAAGAAGAAAAAAAAGGGTCCGGATCCAAACACATTTCCATTTCCACTGGACCAAAGGATAAATCTTACATTTTTAGAGGAAGGAGCCATTCAAAATGTTGGCATATTACATGATCAATGACTTAAGTTCTGATTTGATTACTCAGTTCAAGGGTATGGCGTTTTGTTTCACTCTGCCTAATGTCTTGCAATCAATTTTAAAACACTGCCAACTGTATTGGAGGTAGGATCCTGAGCAAAGAAAAGCCCATCTGTGTGTTTGACTGCTACCTGCCAGATCAGGACAACAGAGAGGAAAAGCCCTGGGATCCTCTTCACACACCGGCACTGACAGCCCAAGATCCCATCCATCACCAAATGATTCCAATTCTGAGTGATTTAGGTCCATTTGGGTCTCCTGTGGCTTCAGCACACACCTGCCATTTGCATAATTAAGCTCTGGGGGAGCTGCAGAAGGCAGTCATTTGCTGTATTAAATCCTCGCCTTATCAATCAAGGAACATCAAGACACATGCAGACCCCCTGACTTTTGGCTTCCTGCCTTCATTTGAAATGCTAAACAAAACTTTATCTCCATGCCTGAAGATCTGCCGGGTATTTAGACCGCCAAGTCCCTTCTTTACATGTTAGCTGTCTGATTGAGACGAAGCTCGGCCCCTTCCCTTAGGGGGTTCAACCATCAATCAGTCTCCAACAACTTCTGTCGGAGTCCCAGACAGTCAAGATGGATGGTGCCAGCATCTGCAGTCTCCCATTAATTCTCCTGTTAGCATACACTGATAGAAATAGCTGCAAGATAAGAAGCATTTTATCTGTTTTCCAGTCGTTGCAGGCCACTTCCTGGTTTGGGACAGGGTCAACCGTTAAATCATTTCTCAGAGACTGGTAGCGACGTGTCAAAACTGGACGCCATGCATTCTCCGCCGGGAGTCAAACAAAGACACAAGTGTACCTCTACAAGGGCCGGTTCTGTCCGACGGACTCAGTGGCTCCTCTGCGACCAGCAGACGCTGCTAAACACAACCAGGGGATGAATGGACGCTATTTTCACAACACGCACCTCTCCGGATAACGCAGCCCTCGCAGGCTGCCCCGACACTTCAACCGGCCTGTTCTCAACACCCGCTCCACGGAGGCCGCCCAACCGACACAGCGGGCGTAGAAACTGACTGACATTTACCACCACAACGCCACACAAAGAGTTAAAAACACACAGGGAAGAGGGGAGGGGAGGAGTCAAAGACAAGGGGTCCCTCTTTGACAACAGTGATGAATGAGTGGATCACAACAAGTTTTAAGAAGGTCTGTTCCTCCTGGCAGGGTGCCTCTTAAATGGCATGACTGACAAAAGGACAACCGACTCCACCTGCACCAACATGACAGGTGGAGCCTTTTACTCTCGGCCCAGGTTTTGATCATAGAACACACTAAAACAGGCCTTTTAAGGTCTCTTTTAAGGTCTCTGACAGGTCTTTTTAAAGCTTATATCAATTATTTTGATATCGGTCTAATATATTCCCAATATACATGATGATATATGACTATACAGTAAATTTTGCAGTGGTAAAGTAACACTTTAAGAGTGCATTTGGTCCCACTCGGAATTAGTGTTAAATTAGACTCTAGGTACTGTAGAGGTGTGCGAAATAATCGTCATGACGATGCATGGCGATTCAAATTTTTGTGATCTACTGCATCCATTCTTGATGCCAAGTATCGATTCTTAATAAAAAAAAATGAATAAATAAAATACATGAATGGTTGGCGCATGACTTCCAGTCCGGTAGATGTCGCTGCGGATGTGTTGACGCCAGATGTTTTGGCTTTAAAAACAAAGAAGGTAAAAATGAAATTGATATGACGCACGTAATTTGAAAAAGGGGAAATATACATTTGAATGTTTTCATTTCATTGGTTTAAAGGACCACTAAGGCCATATAAACGGCACTGATTATCCTTATCTTGTTATATTTTAAGTTTTATAAATGCTAAGCACTTTTCGTCAGTGATATTTGATTCCAGTATTTGTTTTCATGGGTAAATCTTCCAAAAGTCATTTCAATAAATACAGCTATGTATGAATTCAGTTGTTTTCAGTTATGTATCAATTGAAGACACTATGCAGATCACACTTAGCCAGTCAGCCACTGGTAAGGGCTGTATCTTTTTCTTACAGTGTTCAGGGAAAATATTGCAATGCATCGCAATATTTCAAGTATCGTGATGCATCGTGATAGAATCGCATCGTGACTTCTTTGGCAACACCCACCCCTAACGTAGTGTATATTTTACTCCAGTTAACTCTAAAAAAAGTCACTGTGCACTGTGGAATTTACTGTGCAGATGTTGGAGATCGGCCTTTTTTTAAGAAGTAAAACATTTTATAAAAGCATAGCATCATTCAGAAAACTATTGAAAACAAATGCTACCTCCCTACCTGGGTGCTGTTTTAGCACAGCGGTCATTTCTTTTTACCCTGGTTAATGTAGTGGAAAGGCAAAAGGGCAATAAAAGCCCAAGAAGACTCGCCTGTTTACTTGAAATGCTTCTGCTAGTGAGAAATATTGATTTCACCTTTTCAGTTTAGTCATTCAGAACATTTTGGGATCCTCCACCCAGATAAAAGCTGCTTTACTACACTGAAAGAAATGTGTCCGGCGTCCAAGGCGTATTGTTTTTACAGTCACAGACAGTTGAACCTGCTGTTCAGCTGATAGAAATACTTTAAATAGTTTCTGTTCTTCAGAAAACTACTGAATGGACAATTTGGTGTGAAAGGAGCCCCTGAAAAGTGCTGATGGCGCACCGTGATCCTGCTTTTATTTAGATGAAGCATCCCTTAATACAGAAGTGTCTCACGGCTCAGTGGAAATAAAGCTAATAAAGGTGCGTTGTCAAAGCTGGAGTTTGATTCGCGTGAATATGAGCAAAGCTGGGATCAGCTCAGCGTGCTGCTGCCTCACCTAGAGCTACTTCCTTAAGTCGGCCCACAAACGCATTCATTAACGGAGACAAGCTTCCGTTGTGAGGGCTCTGCAGTGAGGCACGAGGAGAAAAGGTGGCTGCATGAGCTGAAGCCTTCTCCCTGTGGAGAGAAGTTCTGAGCAATTTTTTTTTGTTTGTTTCAAACCTGAGGGCACAACTGGATCCTATGCATATTAAAACAACAAGAACAATAAGAAGCGGCTCCATGGGGCTGAATCAGTGATAGCCTGCTAACATTAGAGACGTAACACAACTAGAGGCAGGCTGTGTTGCTCTAAATTACATGGCCTAATATATTTCATTAGCACACCTCCCTCAGAGGGGTCCCTAATGGATGACAGCGTGGCAGAAAAGCTCGTCTGTCAAGGATGCTCATTTGTTCTAAGGCGACTTCTCTTCACTTATTACTGCCTGCTGCTCCTTATAAGCTGCTTAGATTGAGGTTTCCCCACTTTGGAAAAAAAAAAAGGAAAGAAAAAGGCCTCGGCTGATGAGGCGCACCACTTAGGTTCTGTGACCCCCACCCCCCTCTAATCCACTTTGATTTTTATTATTCAAGTCAGGTGGCTCCTGAAAACAATCCTATGAGTGCTTTAGGAGAGAAAAGGCAACTCATCCTCAACTCTAACGTCATCGTTGCAGCCGATCCCTCCCTATTATTCTGCTAAAGTGGATGGCAATGTAACTGTTTTTATTTCTGCATCGGGGGGGGGACGGGTGGCCCCGATTCCTCTTAACTGGGGAATTGATTGAGTTGGCAAGGAGAGAAACATGTCTGAGCTAAATCTTAGAGACGTATCTCTGCAGAATCTGTTAGTTCAATCTCTAACGTTCTGCTCTCTCTGCTTTTTCTCATAGTAGCTTCATCTGGTCTGTTCCTGTTTGGCTGTGACTCCATCCTGGAGAGAAATATCAGCTGTGCTGCTGCCATCAACACCTTTGTTTCTAGATGTTGGAGATCGGCCTGTTTTTCAGTGTGGTCCTGTTTCTCTGACTGTGACTAACTGGATGTGTTCTCTTCATCCTCTGACATGGGAGCTGGCTCGGAGCTCGTCTGCCTGGCTGTGTGTTTCCTGGACGGGGCCGCCTTTTACGGTTGCCTTTTGTATCTATGCTTCTTTTTCTATGTCTGTTTCTGTCTCCTTGAACCCCAGTGGGCCTCAGCAGATGGCCGCTCACACTGAGCCTGGTTCTGCTGGAGGTTTCTTCCTGTTCAAAGGGAGTTTTTCCTCTCTACTGTCGCTACAAGCATGCTTAGTGTGAGGGATTGCTGAAGAGTCAATGAGTCGATGCAATCAGCTGGTTTTCCTTAGATAGAAAACTTTGAATCAATCTGACTGGATGATCTGGTGAACTGTAAAGGGCCTTGAGATGAGATGATGTGAATTGGTGCTATAGAAATAAACTGAATTGAATTGAATTAAACTCAACTTTTTATTTAATCCCTCATTTAACAGACCCATGCTGATAAAATAAAGAGCTTCACCGTCAGTTAGCATAAATTCGATCTTTAGGTTCGGATGAGCAGCAGAAATCCTGTTTCCATGCAAGTATTCAGCACTATCTCCAGGTTAAGCAAATCACAAAGATAAGTTTGCTTTTTTAATTTGATATTTTCAACCAGAACAACTCTAACTCAGAGCGAATGAAGTTCAACTACTTACGTTCACAAGCGTCTCCTTTCTGATGAAATCCAGCTTTGCATATACATTTCCCAATGGGCACGAGCCATTCTCCTTCAGCACTGCAGTGCATCTTGGGGGAGTTGTCGGCCTCCTCCTCGGCGTCATTCACACACCTGCCCTCCACCTCCACCAGCGAAGAAAACTCGGATCCCGTCACCGTGTCAGGGAAGGTGGCCAGGTTCTCGATGATCGACCAGCACTTCTTGTAGTAGACTTTGACGGAGACCAGGGCGATGCAGGCCCCCACGTCCTGGAAGGCCAGGTAGAAGCCCCGTCTGGACAGCGGCCCGATTATACGCACCTCTGTGTTCAGCTTCATCTTTCTCTCGCCCAGGTCGCCCTGGGTGAAGCTCTCGTCTGCAGCGATCGTGTCGATTTTCACGTACTGATTCTCCCTCAGGCCCCGGCCGACCTCCGAGTCCGTCTCCTGGTAATACAGGTTGAAGGTCTCCTTGCAGGCGCCCACCACACCAGGCAGGCTGTTACAATCCCTCAGGGTGAATTTCAGCTCGACAAAAATTCTCTGGGCATCGCCCTTCTCTATCCAGTTAGTCCGCAGCCAGTTGTTCTGATTGGGCTCCATGACTTTACACACCTGGTAGGTGCGGATGGGTGTGTAGTTCTCATCCAGGCCGCTGATCTCTTCCCACTATAATAGAAGTAAGCCACATTTATAAAAGGAATCTAACTAAGGAGACCTGCAGAGAGGAGGAAGTTGGGATGCTGAGTCCTTATCTTCCCAACACATCGTTTAAGACTGATTGTGTTCGGTTTATCAGCCCGTCTTTGCATTATTTATCTAAAAAGTTCCTCAATGCTGGCTTTAATCAGACTTGTGCAAGTTGGTTCACTTAAGGCCTTTGTGCTCTGCATGCTAAGAGCCAAATGCATTCAGAGGCATAAACCAGCCTCACCTATTCTTCCCCCTTCTGCTCCTTTTGTGAGCAGAGGCAGAAACCTCAGTGCATCATTTCTGTGCGATCTTACAGCATTATTATCTCCTATCACACAGCAGAGGAAGCAAAGGAAAGAGATTGAGTTGCGGAGGGCAGCATGCTTGTCAGCAATGCAGAGGTTGTGTGGACTTACCCCATTGGGAGGATAGGAGATCCACTCCAGCTCTGTCTGCTGCGCCTTGGAGTCCAGGAGAATCACTAGACAGGAAAAGCCAAGCAAGACACATGGCGTTTAGTCTGAGTCGCAGGCAGCGGGCCTCCAATCACTGATAGAGCGTTTGTCTGCAGCGCATTTCTACCTGTGACCTCATTCCTGCTTTAAGGCTGAAACCTGCAACAAAGCCGCCGCTGCTGCAGCAGCAGGTCCTGCGCCTGCTGGGAAACTTTTCCTCCTCACTGGAAGCCTGTCCGAAGGCCGGTGGCGATTATATTTACGCGCTTAAATTACAAAATTAAATTCTGTCTGTAACCGACATGAATATAATTGTTTCATTTTAAGGTGATTAGTAACAAGTTTGCGTCTGATGGTTTAATTTAACCGGATGAATTCGGACGTGATTTTTCTCCGGTCCTGGATGCGGGAGGAGCGCAGCGCAACAGCGGCGACTTTTGGAGAGCAACTTCTTTCAGAGCAGCTTTATTATTAGCAGTCAGATCGATGCTTTGTGGAGAAGCATGGATGGAAAAACCAGCCCCGCTGCGCGCAGACGGCGCGCTGCGCCTGTGCGCTTTACGGGCTCCGAAAAATCCCGCAGATAGACATTTTAAATTCCCCTCAGCAGCAGACCATCAAACGCACCACTCTGTGTCATTTTTACACACCGCACAATATAGTTTTCTTTCTTTTTTCTATTTTAATACAGTGGCAAAAACAATCTAATGAATTCTAGATTTGTTTTTTTAATATTGTCCTTCATTTAATCTCTAATCCGATTAGCAGACTGGCTCCTGTTTAACCCCTTCCTTTGCTTTATTTTGCTGCCTGCCGTATTTCAGCCGGACTGTCACTTTGGAGGAAACATCCGTCCGAAGCTGCGTCCTGATGGACGGCGCACTCAGTCCGAGCGAGGCCGGTCTGCCCATCGATCCGCTCACATTACCTCGTTAGTGGAGACAGATTAGGGCAAACAGGCTGTTAATGTCCAGGAAAAAAAAGAAGAAGAAAAAACAGGTATTTTGCTTTTAATCCACGTATCGGGGTTTTTATCCCGTGCGTAAAAAAATAAAAAACACACCGACAGCAGCCCTGCGCTGTAGACCGGCTGTCATCGCCGCTCTTTCCTTTATATTAATAATAGTAAGAAATGTTGGAATGATAAAAAATAAAAATAATCCGCGACTTTTGATGTATTTTTAGACAAGCGGCGGTTTATTGCTGAAGGCTCCGTGGGACAGCAGAAAGCGGTCCAAAGTTTGGGAACTCACCTTCCTTGGCGCTCTGCGCCCCCCCGCTGGCGGCCAGGCAGCTCACCAGGAGCAGCGGAGTCATCCACACGCTGGGGCTGGAGCTGGAGAGCATGGTGCGGCTGCGGCTTTCAGTCTGGAGCGTAACGCGCGCTGCTGCCACCGTCTCTCGCGCTTCCCATTGACGACACTGGAGCGGTTCTCTATAGCGATCCGATGGTCCGGGCTCAAATAGTGTCTGCTGCCTGCCGCGGGGAGGAGACAAGCGGCACGCGGCTGTCGCTCACGCAGACAGGCAGGGGGGGCGGCCAATGGCGGCGCGATGAAGGGAGCGTCACAAAGAAGGAGAGCAAATAGACAGGGAGAGTTGGTTTCTTTTTCATTTGTGTGCTGGGAGGGGGGGCTTTTCTGTTTTTACCTTTTCTTTTTGGGGGGGTAGACATAGCAGGAAGATGGACCGCATGTCCTGAGTCTTCTAATGGGGAAATGAAGTGAACCTGTTGCTCTGTGGTGTGAGAGAATGACCAGTCATCAGATCAAAGGGTTGATAAAACAAACCACGTCATCAGATTAAAGGGTTGATAATGGGCGGTTCTAGACAGGGGGCCAACAGGGGCCAGGTCCCTGTAGTTCTGCCCTGGCACCTGTTATGGCCCCTGTACTGAAGACATAATACTAAAAGAAATTCTAACATGATCTGCGCTGCAACAGACATGGTTATTTCCTTTGGATCTATTTCATTTTTTTTAGTGTTGCACCAATTCCAATACCTCATACCGGGCTGTGCAATATCAGCAATACCGATACCATCTGTTTGAAAATGATGTGTGTGTATATGAAGAACTGCGTACTACCTGGATGTAAAATAATTGCCATCATGGCTTTGTCTAGCTGCTGCCGCTTCGTGAAGCAGGAAAAAGTGAATCCAGTAGACCTTTTTATTGCCTACCAAAATAAACTTTTGGCTATCTGTGGCCCTATTTGTTGGCACTCATCGATACCCATACCACCATTTTAGTGCTGGATCGGAGCCCTGTCCAATATTGGTATTGGTATCAGTGCGACACTACTTTTATTTCTTTAAAAACATTATGTTTTAGTAATTATTTTAAAACAAAAAGGTGATAGCTTCAGTGGTATTGAGATAGGAACTCAGTTTTCATCTGCAAAATGTTTTTGTCAAACAACAAAAAAAAAAATCTGCAGCTGAATTGATCATTTTTTCTTGAGTTATAATTCTGAATGTATATTGACCTAATATTCCAAGTAATAGCTTTGTTTGATCTTTTCTATAGCTGCAATTATTTTTGTTGCTTTTTTGCTATGCTGAGGGTTTTTTATTTTTTTATTTTAATGATAATCCAAAAGAACCTCTTCAAGCCAAAAATAAATATTTTCAGTTGGTTAAAAATGATTGAATAGAAATTTCTCTTTATGCAGCTCTCTTAATATATATTTGAATCCCTTGCCCTGTTTTTTTATTTCATGCATTTCTGTGCCCCCATGAAAACACGCTGCCCCCCCGGAACATTTAATCTAGAACCGCCATAAATGATGACAAAGTGTTCAGTGTATTTCAGCAACAAGCATTTTATTTGGAGACATTTGGATCAATGCTTCTAAGCAGAAATGACAAACTGACCTAAGAGATTCTTATTCATTTATGTGAGAGATAATTATAGGATCAATAATAAAATGATTCATTTAAACGCTGAGCTTCTTCAGGTCATATTGGATTTTATTAATCAGCTATAAAACATCAGGAGAATCACCTTAGCAGTGCATAAACACCAGGATACCGTTAGCAGGGGGGATTTACCATCAGGCAATACTAGGCAGTTGCCGGGACCCCAAGTTCCTGGGGGCCCCATGAAACTCTGTATACATGTATGATTATTTTATAACTATTCTTTATTTGTGCTCATTAATTATGTTTTTGATAAAAATCCTTTCACTAAAATTCCATCAGAACGTTTATAATATTAAGCCCCCTTCAGTGTCCACCATATTGGATCAGTCCATTTATGCCCCCCTCAGTGTCCACCATATTGGATCAGTCCATTTGCTGCACATGTTCAGAAAGGTCCAAACAGACAGCAGCAAACCATTTGAAAACAAACCATGCAAAGAGCAGTGTTGC